TCTGGCACATGAAGGAGGGAGTAGCTGAGAACAGCAGAGGAAGAAATTGGGCAAGCTTTTAGTTGTGAAGCAATCCTCCAGTGAAACTTCTACAGAAATGTGGGGACTTTTTCTTACTAAAAGGTTTCTAAGCTTTATTCTAAGGGGTCTTTCTACCATGACCCAGCCACAAGTAGCAGGCAAGATGCTGATGACACCAAGGTATCATCTCCTTGTGGTGCAGTAGATTCCTGGTCCCACCAGGACTCGTGCCAAAGCTGTCATAGGCTGGAGAGGCATGAGACAAGTCCCACAGTTTTCAAAAAGCCAGAGAAAGATCAGCAGCACAAAAAATAACAGGGTGCAGCTGAACCCACAGAGATCTGGGACTAGCATTAGTCATCTCTCCTTGTGGTCATGCTACCAGACTCCCTGCCCCAGCACCTTCCTGCTTCCCAGCTGTCTCTGACATGGAGCGGAACAGAAGAGTGCATCAAAAGCATGGTGTCTCCAGGTCATGTCTTCTGGGGTGGTACCCCAGGGTACTCCCATCACTGGGGAGCAGCACACCCTGTTTGCAGGAGTTCACAGTCCTCTTGTTTGTCTCTCAAGAGACATTTTCCGGCAGGTAGATCAGCAGGGATACTCTCTGGTAGTACTACGGGGAAACAGCCCTCTAAAAGGGTTAACAACTCCTCTGGCTCCTCTCTTCTTCCACTGCCCTGCAGGGAAGTTGGAAGGGCACCTGCCATAGTTGGAGCAAACACAGGAGATCATGTCTGGGGACAAGAGGGAATGAAGCTGTGATGTTAGGGAGAAGTTTAGTGGTGGAGGAATGCCAGATGATTTAGTCTGGCCTCACAGAACAGCATGGGCTATCATATCCCAGAAAGGTGGGGAGGCAAGACCCTGCTGTTCTCTGCAATCAGTCCTGTGCAAACTCTGTCAAGCCTCGAGGACACATGGGACTGCTCAAATACTGCTGTTGGCGTGTAGCTGTGTCCTTGCTGCACTGCAGAGGAGAGAAGTTTGAAGAGAAGACAGAGCTGACCAGAGCATAGGAAATGTCTAGGAAGAATAAAAAAACACGTGTGGGGTCAGGGAAAGAGAAGCAGGTTTCCCAGAACTTTCCCATGTTTGTGAGAATTTCTAGAAACAGCCTCAAGCTACATGGTTCCCATCAGTGTCTTTGCTTCAGGGTCTGTCCTGGCCAGCTGCAGGTAATTGTGCCCATGTGTGTTTTGAGGGAACTCCTGGGACAAGCTACCACTGTGCCTACATCTGTGTGTGCATTGGCATGGGCAGTGGGAACAGACAGGTCTAGTTCAGGGGAGCTTTATGGGGTCCCATATGTGTTGGGACTATAAGTGTCTTTGGGACTGCCTGGTGTCATGCTGAGTCTTCACATTGCAGGGGTTTTGTCTGCCAGCCGAGAGAAGGTGGCACACTGGCTGGTAAAAAGAGTCAGTGGCTGTTGCCTGGTCAGGAGTTGATTGCAAAGAAACAGGGATACAGGGGGGATGTGCCAAGTGGCAAATCTGAGTTGTCAGCGCTAAGCCAGTGTGACAACAGATTGTATGAGCAGCAGAAGAAAAAGGACCAATGCCACCACTCAGACTAATACCGTGGAGAGGCTCAAATACACGGATGGATGGAGCTGCTTAACTGATTTGTCTGGTTGGCAGCATAAAAACACTTCTGCTTACCTTCGTGCAAAAGGTGTTTTGGTAACAGATGTCTCTGAGTCAGTTGTGCTTGGAATCTGTGAGGGGCAGGAGACTTTCTAAATAAAGAATATTATAATATATATGTTATTATAACAATATAATATAACTAGTGACCATTATATATAGTGGCTAAAGGTTAGAAAGGATCCTGCTATTTTCAAGGAAGTCTTCTGATACTGTGACTTCTAATGTGTGCAGGACTGACTGCTGTGTGCAGTGAATGTGGGTGTAGGAACAGGCTACCACCCTACCAAAGTGCATGTGAGCTGTGAGGCTCCACTTGCCTGAGCACGAACTAGGGCCAAAGCACCCCAGCTTGGGGGGTTGGCAGCTGTCATACTTGCCATGTGACCTGTAATAGCTCCCGGAATGACATACATCTCTGTGGGGCATGGATCAGGATCTGAAGTGTCACTGCTGCCCTTGACTAACACAAGCATTGAGAGTTTGGTGGTGAAACATTTCAATTGAATGCAAGTTGTATCAAGGCAAGAGAATCTTTCATGTTTCTCCTTTCCAACACAGAGGTGTTTTCTCAGTGTAGATCCTGCTCCAGTAGCAGCTCAGTGGTTCCTTAGTGCACTTCTTTCTTCTCTGTATAGTTTACTGACCCATGGCATGATCCCACAACTATTCTACATGTATAGGCAACAATGCTCACCTAAGGCCTTGCCCTACACATCAATCACCTGCAGTTAAATTAATCTTGTGAACACAGTAAAAGTCCCATTGTGGACATGATGAGTCTGGTATCAAATGAATTTCTTCTGGCTTAACTGAAACATGCCGGTGCTCTATCTGTTTTCCAGCTGCTCTTACAGCTCCATAAGAGGGAGAGAGCTTGGCCTCCTGTTCAGACCTTTCCTCTTGGGGTGCCTGCTTGTAACTGGGCTTCTGGGTGGAAGCCTGTGGGTTCACCCTGTGCTGGTTCCCGAGGTCCTCTGCAGAACCCCAAATAGTTGTTGTGCTCTTTGTTAGCCTGTTGCTGCACTCCAAGGGTCTGGGACTACGCTGACAGTGACAGCAGAGCCAACTGACGTTAAGACTTCACTATGAGCTTTGGCATTGGTATCTTTGCTAGGCCAGAGAATATCTGTTGTTGCCAGCCTGATGTGAGCTGTGATCCAGAGTACAGCCAAAATCCCATGAAATGACAGTGATTTGAACACCATCACTCTCCTGTCCCTTCATTCCTAATGTATCTCCTCTAGCAAATCTTGTCTTCAAAGTCACCATATACTCCCTGCAGGTCAGCCCCTCTCTGCTTGGGGGATTGAAGCCCTCTTGGATTCTGCAGAGCTTGAGGCAGACTTGACCACCAACCTATGCAGCATGCCCTGCATCATGCAGGCCAGTGCTCTTGGTCATAAGAGGAACATCCCTTTTATTTCTGGAGCTGCAAATGTCTGGAAAGCAGGTTTAAAGTAAATATCAATGCCCTCTGTGCTGAAAGGAGGAAGGGAGCTACCAAAGCAAATGCAGAACTGGGTTCCTGGTAGGGACCGAGATAATAACTGCTCCTGCTCTTAGCTCCTAAACCAGAGGGGCCTGCAGGTGTGAGACCTCTGCTTTGGTGAAGGTACTGCTGGACTGATATCAGCGTGGGGCTTCTCAGTTGCTGCTCTACCTCTGGCCTTGTTCATATTGCCCCTGCCTGGAGCACAGGAAGGTCTGACATGGGTCACTGGAAGAGGCAGGGGCTAACATTTACTCAGCACATGGGTAGGTGAGGCCAAGGTGCACGGCATGGGCTCTGGGACTATTGCCTGCAGAGGGGGGATGAGCTCTGCAGGACATGGAGGTTTAGTGGAGGAGTCCAGGCTCAGCCATGTGTGTGAAAAACAGTGTCAGCGACACTACTGTGCTCTGGGACCCGGGCTGCTTCTTCTCCAGACAGGAATTGGAGGTGGAAACACAGATAATTTTATATATCTCCTTTTAACACGATAGCATGTGATTCTACACTAGACATTGTATCTGGCACACCGATATTTTCCTTTGCCTCTGGCACACTCTGGAGACAGGACTTCTGCTCCTTGGTACTGCCTGCCTGGAAATGTGACTGGGTCCAAAGGCTAAGTCTCTCTACATATCTTCTTTGCATTCTTTAGGAAAGCAGCTGGAGAATGTTTACACTCTGCAAACAGAATGTAGGACTCCGACTGAGGAACCACAATCCGGTTCAACTGCATGGCAAATTTCTTGGCCATAAAATCTGGCATGCATCACAGAGGCCCTGTCTGTGTACAGATCCACCTGGCATTTGTCATAATTTCAGATTGCATCTTAAAGAAAAATAAATGATGATGCCATTTCTTGTTCATACCAGACACAGTTGTCATTAGATTTGTTATTAAAAGGGGATTCTCGATCATGCCATTAAAAGCCTGTCTACCTTTTCATTGGTGTCTTCTCCTATTTATTGGTGTTGCCACATGTGAAGCAGAAATACCACCTGAATTGCTGCCAGGGGACCTTGTCTACAATTGTGCTTGGGTTTCATTCCAGCTGTGTGGCAGCTCTGCCTCTCCTTCCTTCTCTGAAACCTCCTGCAGAGTTGTGCCAAGGTTGTCATAAAATCTCCTCACAAGGTGTGTTCTTTTTTTTCTACATCATGTCAACTCCGTTGGCTGTGACTAACCCCAAAACACTGCTGGCAAGGACCAAGCATTACATTGTTTCTATATGAGCACTGATGCAGCTTCTACGTGGTGCCTGTAAACAGGCCTGCAAAAGCTCAGAGCTGTGTGATTTGCTGGCAGCCTTTCCCTGTGTCACAGTGGTAAAAGTGGCTCTCTCTTCTCTAGGGCCTTCTGATCCATGCAAGCAGGCAAAATCAGAGGAACACCTCGGAGGAATGCACCAGAGTGGGCCTGTTGCTATTCATGCAAGACATGTTCCTGAACAATGAATCTTGTTCACAACCACACGTCAGGCAGCAGGCTCAGTCATCCAGTTCCAAAACAGCATCTTTCAGAGAGCAAAGCCTGCTTTTTTAACAAAATAAAACCAAACTAAAATAAAAATTTTAAAAGTAGCGTTTGTAGAGATGTTTACAGGACCCACATCTAGCTGGTCCATGCAGTCCAACTGGGACCTGCCTGGGGGATCTTCACTGAGCTCCAGAGCTGGTCAGGGACAGTGTTTCACATGACTAGTCTCTTGCTCTTCCGTTTTGTATGGTTTTCCCAATTTGAGCACCACTGGGATCATAACAATATCTCTCTGACCTTGTCTGTGCTGAGACCAACCAGCTGGGGCTGCAGTTGAACCTGCACATTAATATGCAGGAAGTGGAGCAGAAGCAAACCAGTAATGTGGCATGGTTTGACTTTTAATACTCTCTGACAATCTGACATGTCAGCTGAGGACAATGCTCTTACAACAGTCCTTTAACTGTGCAATTTCCCTCATGTCTATCGTGTGCAGACCACACGTAGTAGCAGTTTCTTATCTAGCTTTGGGAAGAGGTAGTTGAACAGGGAACACAGAAGCTATGAAGGATTGTTTTCATCAATTTTTAAGTTCACACCCTTTCACCACTGTCACTTGGGCACCTTTATTTGGCACGATGCAGGCAGGGTGAGATACAGCTTACAAGCTGTCCTTTGTGGCCTGGCACAGGTAGGACAGGGCTCAAACTCATTACTTGGCTAAAGATTCATAAACTCATGGCCACCTCGCAGGCACACAGCAGGTACACAATCTGCTGGCAAGTGGGTGTCAGTGTCCATGGCTCCCTGAAACAGCCTCATTCTATTGTTGCTCAGTTTCCATCTCATCTTCTCTGCTGCCTTTTTTTTTTTTTTTTGTCTGTGAATCCTCTTGCTCTTCAGTGTCACCATCTCAACAATGTTACCTTCGCCTGTGGAAAAACAATTTCAGTTGTGACTGAAATACCTATTTTAAACATTTGAGTTTATGGTAAAATACCTTAACTAGCATCATGGTCTAACACACAATATAAGTGCTTTTTCTGAGATTTCAGATTATAAGAAACCTAGAGGGTAAGAATATAATCTGTCCCAGTCAATGTGATTTTTTGGAAGCTGTCTTTGTTAGGTAAGTATGGTCGCTTTTTATTTTTACATTGATCATAGCTAATCATATACAGCAATTGACTAAGCATCCAAAAAACACTGATCCACAATTATAAACTGAGCTGCATAGTTCACAGGTGAGATCTGTCAAATAAGTTCTCCCTTGGAAAGGTGTTTCCTATGATGATAGGTTTTATTCTTTCTCCTATAGCCAAAAGAAAACACATTTGACTCTAGTGAAGAATCCAAAATCATAGAAAGAAACAATGGGACCAAGAAGCTCCTTAAAGTCTGTGTCAGTATCAGGCAGATGAAAATTAAAGCTGAGCAGCATAAACTGGGAAATTGAGAAATATTTCAGAACTTCATGGATTGGCTGCCAGCAGGAGGGTTTGCCAAGGGGCTTCATCACCACCCGTAGACAGTGAAATGGGACATTCTCTGGAATACATGTTTGTCAGATACAGGGTGCTGGGTACAATGTTGCCTGAGGCACTCTATCAAGTGAGAAGGTGAGTGGAGGAAGAAACTGAAACAGGCTGCTCTTACTGGAACAGTTCAACGAAATATGAAAAAGACAGGTTTTTAGGAGGAGGGGGTATCTTTACTTGGACCAGCTTTTGTTATTAGCTGGAAAAGCCAAAGAGACTGTTGGGCTCAGAGACCTTTCTTCTGCAATCACCTCAAGGTATTTCGAGATAAGAAAAGCCCCATTACAGAAAAGGCAAGCCACAAGAGAGCCTCAAACTGCAGGGGAAGCCTGTACTGCAAGGAAACATGGCTCACACTTGTCATTCCTACTCTTGCCTTCATCTACCTGTCAGCGGGTAACTGCGATGCACTCTCACAGTAGGGCCCAGGAGTCAGCTAGACCCCAGGATAGCTAGACCCAAGGATAGACCTCCAAGCCTGTAGCTTCGAGGAAACTGCTAAAATGTGTCAGGTTGCAGAGAGCACAAAGAGATGAAGAGACACTTACAGCATCTACACAGGTTTCATTATGTACAAAAAATCTCAAAGAGAAAATAATGCAAAGGAATCCAGCTATTTAAATTCACCAATTTGTATTTAAAACAATGAGGTAAAGCCTCAGATTTAAAATAACAAGCTAAAAGAGTCCAAACCCCTGTGTTATAGTGTCCACAGGCTCAAAGCATAATTCAGGCTGGAAGAGACCTCTGGAGGTCTCTAGTCAAAGCCCCAGCTCAGAGCAGGGTCAGTGCTGGGGTCCTACAGGGTTGCTCCCACTGGAGGAAGCTGCACCAGTGTCCCCAGCCTCAGAGGCACTGAGCACAACAGCAGGTCAGGAGTTCATCCTGCACTGAAAGCAAACCAGCCTAAACCTATTCCTAGGATCTGTCCCAGAGCTTCCATGGGGGATGCCTGTTAACTGCCCTTCACCTGCCACCCATGCAGCTTCTTGCTTATGACCCAGGACTTCATTTATGCTCAGGCCTGTGTTTCCTATCCCCATCTGAGCTGTGTTAGACATGTTCCTGTCTCCTGTCCTGGCTGCTGCACAGACCTAGGACCTACCTTGTAGTTTTGTCTCCAGTCCTTCTCCTGCTCCAGACCAGGCTCTCTGGAAGGACTCTGGTCCTGGTTCATCCTTTCCCTTTGTCTGGGGCTGTTGACTGATACTCTCCCTACCCAGCTCTGCCAGCCATGCTGAGACTCTGTGAGATTGTGGCCTGTTGGGGAGGGCATGCCCTGCTAGTTTCCCAACAGCACTGGTTAGTTCCATGAGATAGGGGAAGCGGTAGGAAGGGGCATTAGTCATGTCTGGAGGATCTGTCTAGGAAGCAGACAGCATACAAGCACTGGCTTAGGACCCATGATCCCACACAGCAAAAGAAATGGAAGTGGCTGATGTCCTTTCACTCTAAGGTAGGATCAGTGTTCACATTTATGATGGACAAGAAAACAAGCTTTGGCCAGGACCAGTTTACTTACAAAATAGTTTTCATTTGTTTGTGCAATCAAGTAAAATGGCTGCACACCAGGCTGCTGCAAGTAATGGGAAGTAGAGGAATCTGTTAATGTAGCACCAAGTCAGATTGGCATGAAGTCCCTTTGTTCTAATCCAAAACAAAGATCTTCAGGAGCCCCAGGACCTCTTTGTTGGCTGCACCTTTGCTTTCTCCAACAAAAACCTAGTGATTTGATTTCTACAAAATCTGGTGCACACACATCCTGCCAAGACCACCCGGACACTCTGCTGCAGCACAGTGCACCTTAGACTGACACTGCAGGCATCCTGTGCTGACTTTCCCAGCTTTGTAGGGTTTTCCTGTCTAAACTGCCTTTGTAAATAATAGAAAAAATGGAGACTGCTGTGTGTGTGTCACGTCTTCTTCCTGCAGGGCCTGCACTCAGCTGCAGTTAGAAAGGGACATTTCTACCCTCTGACAGTGAATCTAGCTCAGTGGCTCTGATGGACACATATTTTCATGGCATAACTTAAAGGGAAGGGAGGATTTTGAGATCTGCATCTTTCCTATAGGAGAAAATTATCATTTAAGCACCAACCTGCAAGAACTGATCAGATCTCCAGGTACTCTGCAGCAGTTGATACACCTGTGGAGTGGCTCCAATTGCTAAAGGAACAAGTCAGCTCCTTCTCTCCTTTCACCATCCAGGCTATTACAGCTCCATAGAAGGTGTTAGGAAATTACTGTTGGAAACAAAAAAGCTAAATTAGTCACCAAATAATTTAATAATCTACCCTCTCAATAAGTAGTTGGCATCCTGAAAAGGAGAAGAAAGAACTATTGCAAAAGAATACAGATGTGAAGTAAAAAGTAAATTTCTTTTTCCAGCAATATAATCTAAAGTCTGCTCACTCTCTCTGCTGCCACGCACGTTCAAGCAGTTTGAGTAAGGTCCTGCATCTACTTAACCGAGTGGGGCATAGTCGATCACAGCTTTTGCACACAGGTTGGTGATTAACTCAAGCTGCTGACTGGTTAAAGGAACACATTTTGATTAGAGAAATAAAGGAATGTACATTTTAAGCAGTTGCAGTATGAACAGTAGAGCCTCAGGACTTGCAGAGCAATGATCCGTATCCTCGTTTCTGATGGGGAGGCTGGAGCTGCTTTGCAGTTTAAATATGCAGCAGCATATCAATGAGAGTTTCTGTTCCTTGCTCTTAGAAGACCAGTGGTGAAGAAAAATAATTTGTCCTTTAGTTCAGCTTCAGGTTAAACTGTAACCCTGGAGCACAGCACTGAGAGGTGTCCCTGCTTCACTTCTGTGGTCTTCCTTCATGCTGGTCTCAGGATGAGCATGAAAATGGTTCATAGCAAAGACTGGAGCAGTACATTATTTAAGCATGGGTGAGCAGGAATGCTGCTGAAAAGAGGAAAGATCATCTAAGGACACAGCATGGTGGCCTTTCCCTTGTGAGCGTGACAGGCCACTCTTGGCAGCACATGGCAGCCAGCACCACTTCCACTTTACCTGTGCCAGTCTCTTGATGTGCCTGCATCCCAACACTAATGTCCCTGCTTTCCAGGTGGATGGTCAAACCGGAGTTGGTTTAAAGCAAAGCATGTCCCAGGGCAACAGCTTGGAGAAAGGTTCGGAATGACACATCAGTATCCACCAACATTCAAGACTGCAGGCTTAGTGGATGAGGGATAGTGCAGACTACTAGGAGAGGGGTACAGAGTGTGGAAAGGCAGTGGGAGATAACCTCTAGCAAGCTCTCAACAACACCGCTGTTGCTACCTCTTCACATACACCTCTGCAAAGGGGTTGTAGCCCTTAAAGGGTTCTGCCTCTGCTTGCTGTATGATGCACTGCCCCCTTAACTTGGGACACAACCATCTGGGATGTGTTGTCCCCAGGAGCTGCCCCATGGATCCACTCTGTCTAGAGCACTTGCTGCAAGGGAAGCGGGTCCATGTCTTCTACCTGGGTGGGGCGAGGGTGTTAAGGGACTTACTGGAAAGGGTCCTGCAGGGACCCCCAGCAGAGTAAGGGTAGAGCCCCTTCTCTCAGTGCTTTGTATTTAACTGCCCTAATCTCATCACCAGGTCCATGCAGTGCGGACAGCAGAGCCTGTGGCCCTGTCAGGGGCTGCACGTTCACACCTTTGGCTGTCACGTGGATCCTCACAGCACACCAGCACAGGGCTTGACCCTGTAGGAGGATGTCACAGCCCCCAATACGGCAAGTGCAGCCTCTCTGCATACTCATCAATTCCTTGCCTGTGTCCTGGGGAAACACTTCTCCAGGTGGAGAAAAGGACCTTGTAGGGAAACATTTTCACTTTTTCCATTCTTTGGAGGACACTGGTGAGCAGGTAGCCTTCACCTACAGCCCTTCCTTTTACCCCAAGATACCTTTGGGGTAAAAGAACTGGATGGATGAGTTTCGCATCCATCCAGAAACTCATCTCTCTTCCAGGTGCCATCTCAAGCCTCTCCACACTCCCTGCTCCAGCGTCATGACTTGACACAAACCATACTAAAACACACTTAGCTGATGCTCAGCAACCAGGCTTGGTGCCCCTGGGTGTCCCAACGCAGTGGGTCACCCCCGCTCTTCCAGAGGCCTGTTTTATGGTCCAGTGGGTCTGACTGGTTATCAGCTCACACTAGGCAGCATTTGTTGCAGTGCCTGGGATGCTGCATGGTACATTCCCACTAGAAATAAGAGTGCTCTCACAGCACTCTTCCCACAGCCTCCCTTCCTTTTGTAAATGTCCCTCTCAAAACCATGGCAGGAAGAAAGGACTTCAAAAAGAGAAGGGCCTTGTGCTGAATTTGTTTGAAATTGATGTATTGTGTGCACAGAGGATAAATTCTTTGGCTATACCCCAAATGGGGAGTTTCACTGTGACTTTTGATACCTTCCAGCAAGGTCTCAAAGTCCAATGAAGTGGCGGTATGAAAAGCCATGGGAAGCTGAGCTCCAAGAACAAAGGCTGCCTTTCAAGCCCTTGTTGCTTTTCCTTGGTATATAGCTGCTTTGAATGAGAAAACTCCACAGGAATTATGAAATTTGAGGATCTCTTGCTGGAAATTGGGGGCTTTGGCAGATTCCAGATTTTGATTTTGGTTATGCTTTGCCTCCCAAGAATCAACCTGCCCATGCATTTTCTGCTGCACAATTTTATTGCTGCTACCCCCTCTCATCACTGTGCAATTCCATACCAAGAGGCGTTTGTGAATCTCACCATGGAGGAAATTCTACTCATCAGTATCCCCCGGGAGTCCGACGGCACTTTCAGCTCTTGTGAGATGTTCTCACAGCCTCAGTTTCACCTGCTGCTCAACTCTTCTCTGCAATCAGAAAACAAATCCATCATCCAGCGCTGCCAGCATGGATGGGTCTATGACCACTCACAGTTGACCTCCACGATCTCCACCCAGGTAATGCCTGGCCTGTGATGCATCCAAAATTGAAATTAGATCAGTGCTTTGAGGAGCAGATGGACAGGTGTTTGCCGGGTGCACAGTATCATAAGGGAATCTGTCCATTTTAACCAGTGGACGTGAACTGTTTGGAGAATATGTCCTGGGAGGGGGAAGTTCTCTGAAGATCAGAGAAAACAACATTTATTATTATTATTATTATTATTTTGTACACATCTCATCTTGCTTAGATTGGTGCCAGCATTTCTTGTTATAATCATCTTAATTTCTCCAGGCAATTGAGAGATTCAGGAGCAGTGCAGGGGGAAGACACAGATATAGGATTTTCTCTGTGTGGACCCCATGGCATTGCACAGGATTGCACCCTGTCAGGGTTTCATAAGAGCCCATTACTTCCTTTCTTGGTTTTCCAAACACTTTTTAACTTCTATTCCTTTGGTAACCCCTCCTCACTGATCTTCACCTTCCTCCTCTTCTCCACAAGGTTGTGCTGCCTGTTTTCTCTTACCACCAATATCTCTTGCTGCCATATCAGATGTGCTCTCCAAGGGTCTCCCCTGGATATCAGGAAATGCAGCATGCTGGCCAGCCATAACCTTGAGCCTGCCCAAGGTCCCTGCCCATCAAATAGTCACCACTCACCTTCTGAAACACTTTTCCGGGTCTAACAATGATACCTCTGAGTGTTAATCCTATACTTTCCTTGAAAAATGGCCCAAATCACACCGGTCTTAGGAAGAGGAACAATTTGGTCGGGCAAAAGGAGCACAGTTGTGTTGGAACTGATAGTGCTGACCACCTCAGTGAGAGCAGGGAAAAGTGTTAGCCTAGAGCTGATGCCTCCTCCCCACTACCCAATCACTCCTGCTTTCATCAGGCATGGAGGTGAGGATCAGATGTGTACCAGGTCTGCACCTCTTTTCTGCAGTGCTTCAGGGAGAGAGATGTAAAGCAGTCATGGGGGAAAGGCAGAAGGAGGTACTCTGCAGCATGGAGCCTTGTGATGCTGCTCCCATTGTGCAGTGGGCTCAGGACCTGTTCAAGGGGCCAGGGCTTTCTCTGGACTCTTGCTTTTGTTGCAGGAAAGGTTGCTCAAGGTCTCGCTGGCCTTGTCAGAGAGGCTTCATGTCCGGGTTGATGATTAAATTAAGTTTTGCACATATAGGAAATTAACTCTGCAGCTTGGCTGCAGCATTCTGTAATGATTAGTGACATATGAAACTCCAAGAAAGTAAAGTTATGTTCATTAATTTAATTAGGATGAATGTCTAAACCAACTTCTTAGTAAGAAATCAATAAGCTAACATTAAAAGCAAGTATTTGTTCTCACTTCCCCTCTGCCCTCCTTCTCCCTGCACAGAAAACTTCAAAGGAAACTGGTCAGGGCAACAGAAAGTGGGTTATCAACACAACATTCCCTGATGTGGGCTGAGGCATGTGTTACAGCACCCTGCAGTGGGGCACCCTGCAAATGCCCATCTCACCAGGGCAGTCTCAGGGACATGACAGAAAGATCTGGGGGAGACATCGACCTGGGCAAGTATTGCAGGGATCAGGAAAAGAGAAAAGTTAAACTCTCCATGCATGGTACCCAGGAAAGTTTTCCGATATCTAACACTCTCCTGGGCTACCTTAAGCACAGCATCACCAGCTGGTCAAAAGACATGATTTTCTTGCTCCTCTCTGCACTGGTGCAGCCTCCCCTTTAGTCCTGTGTGCAGTTTTTGGCACCACAATAAAAAAAATATATTAAGCTACTTTAGAGCATCCAGAGGGCCAAGACAATAGTGAAGGGTCTGGAGGAGAGGGAGAAAGTAATTTATGAGGAGCAGATGATATCACTTGGTTTGTTCAGCCCAGAGAAGAGGAGACTGATGGGACACCTTAATTGTGGTCTTCAACATCCTCACAAGGCGAAGCGAAGGGGCAGGTACAGATCTCTTCACTTTCGCAACCAGTGACAGGGCTCAAGGAAATGGCATGAAACTGAGTCAGGGGAGGCTTAGGTTGGATATCAGGAAAAAGTTTTCACCCAGAGGGTGACTGGGCAGTGGAACAGGTTCCCCAGGGAAGCTGTCGCTGCACCAAACCTGTCTGAGTTCAAGAAGCATTTAGAAATGCTCTCAGGTACGTGGTTTGATTCTGGGAGTGTCCTGTGGAGGGCCAGGAATTGGACTTAATGATTCTGATGAGTCCCTTCCAACTCAGCATATTCTATGATTCTATGAAGTGTTTACAGGGAGAATGTCATAGTGACGATAGATAACGGTGACTTTTGTAAGATTCAACTTTACATTTTTCAGGATGCCAGCACTGTCCTATGTGTGGTTTAGCGCAGGATTCTACCCCTCAATCAGATGTGGTGGATACAAATTGTGAGACATGATGGCTGCCTGCTGCAGTGAAGGGGTGTGAAAAGGCAACAGAGACTGAACTGGGCACTAAGTATCTTTGTCGCCTTGTGTTTCAGTGGGACCTTGTGTGTGAGCAGCGTGGACTGAATCAGGCAACTGCAACCTTCTTCTTCATCGGCGTTACGATGGGGGCTGTGGTATTTGGATACCTCTCTGACAGGTTTGACCCCTTTCAGGCTGTTCCTCCAGGGCCTCAGTTTCATGACAAGAATTTCACAGATCTGTGACCTACAACTGGCAATCAGAGGGGCAGAGAATGGAGAAAAGAAAATTGTAAAGGAGAATCCAGCCTCTCACTTGAAAATGGGATTCAAGTCACACTACGAAGCAATGCAGGGGTAAATAATTAATGGATCAGAGGGTTACCAGTCCACCAGAGAAGCTCTGGCCTTGGTTAGGACTCAGATGCACTGCTGGCTGCAGTCAGCTTTGCTGCAGGAACAGTAAAAACAAAAAAAATCTAATATGCAAGACCATAGTCAGAAAAAAACTGTCTTAAAAGAGGAAAGATGGTTGAAACAAAGCTCAACAAAGAGGTTAAAGGGTTAACTCTTGCAAGTTATAGACAAATTGTCTAATGACAGCCGAGTGGCTCAGAGTAAATGCATGCCATAGCCCAAAAGAAGAGTCTCCAGCAAGGAAGACCTGATTCTCTCATTACTAAAGAATCAGGGTAAAGGAGATTCTTATAAGCAAAGAGGTATTCCTCAAGGAAGAGCTGAAGCAATGAGGAAAACAGGAACAAATCTCCTCTCTCTGGTCAAATGTTGGAATGTGACAATGTAGACCTGAAAGAAAATCCAAGTAATAACCTAGAAAAAGCATCAATTAAGAAATTCAATATTTTTGCAAACAGCAGAACCAGGAAACCCACCCGAGGATACATAGTCCAGGCACACAATTGGGATGTGCTATTCACCGTATGCTAGTCATGATTTAATAACTGGGTTTCCTGTGCAGGAAACTCCTTCCCTATTTCCTTTGTCTGGAAGCAAGTACGTATTAGTGTACAGCAAGTTACAAAATTACTGCAGAGGGGAACCAGCTTCACATAGTGCTCAAGATGGGAATTTTCACATCCCTGTCTTTGCACATGAGTATATATGTATACTGTTACAAGCATCCAAGACACCTAGTTGATCTTCAGACTATGTGTCTTGGCTTTGTATCTACAATAGTTTTATAGCACAGTTGGAGGAAGAGGAACTCAGAATCAAGAAAAGGAGCAGGACAAAATAATGCAGAAGAAAAGGTCTCTGTTAGTGCAAAATGAAAAATAATTTCTTTTACAAATGGATTGTGAGGGGAAAGAGCCAGTAGAAGAAGAAGACATGAAAGGACCAACTAGAAATAAAAAGACTATAGTGTGAGAGAGAAATGAGTTTGTGCTCACAGTGGGAAAATATGTAGGGGCAGGTGTTGGAGTTGGAACTTTGAAATAGGCTGACAGAAGAAGACCGAGATAAATTGCAGGAGCAGGGAGTGGTTATCCTAGAGCCTTACAGTACCTTTGAGATTGAAAAGCTGGAACAGTTGGCACTGTGTGACCTCCACAGCAGAGGGCTGGGATGGTATCACATCTGAAATCTGTTTTAAACTGGTCTCCAAATAACATCTCAGGAACTACATGCCAGGCAGTCTGACATCTGTCTGTACCAGGCAAACTGGGAGAAACCACTCTGAAAGATTGAGCCAGTGCCCCATGGGACACACTAGCGAAGAATCAGTTGGGTTTTTTTCAAAACATCCATGCCTTACAAATGTATCAGATTTCTTTGCTTGCACTAACAGGCATATCAGCAGAGGAGACTCCACCTACGGTATATCAAGAAGCCTCCTTACCAAAGGCTTCTTAGGAAATTGAGCCACCCTAGGATAAGAGGGAATGTCTCTGCATGACTAAATAATCAATTAAAAGCCAGGAAGGAGAAAGGAGATGTAAGTGACAAGGGAGGTTCCAGTTCTTGGATTTGTGTGCTTTTCAGCACATCTGTAAATAATCTGGAGAGAGAGCAAGTGGGGAGGTGATGTTGAGTGGTAGAGATGAGATCCAAGCGTGGAGAATTGTAGAAGGACTCTATGACTGGATGGGAGAATCAGAAGACAAAATTTCAGGGCAGATTAATCTAAAATAGAGAAAAAAATTTAACTTCTCATTTAAAAAGGAGGCTCTGAGCTGACCCTAGCTACTCAGTAGGAAGACTTAGCTGTTATGACAAACATAGTTTTCTCTAGGCAAACATCCACACAGCAATGAGTACTGCTGGGGAAGCAAGTGGAAAATCAAAAATCATTAGGAAAGGAATATAAAATTAATATCACTATTAAGAATATCACTATGCAGTAACATATAAATGCATGGTGGTCCCATATCTTGAATTCTGTGTGCAGATTTGATCTCCCTCCATGCCTCTTCCCCATCTCAAAAGGATACAGGAGAAATGGACAAAATTTGGAGAAGCTAACAGCAAAAGACAAAGTTATGGATGGCCTTCCAATTGGTCAGACAAGGACCCTTCAGTCTGCTCGAGTGGCAGCTAACAGAAGTTTCACAGTCAGTTGTGCCCTTGTGAGCAGACTGAAGAAGAGCTGAGGGTGCACCTGAGCTACATGGCCAGGGCCTGGAGGGCCTGTCAGGAAGTTCTTGCAGCCCATGTAATCACAGTGTGGGGGCAGCACACCCAGTAATTTGGCAGATCTGTTAAACATCAGAAGCCATGCTCCACATCTTCCCTATCACCTAAGTTGACTTCCCATTAGCAACCTTTCTTTTGTCTGATAGAGATGAGATCCTACTTTGTGCTAACAGCAAGGTAGAGATTTCATCTGTTGTTCCCCAGGGTGAAAATTGTCTGGTCCTGGCATTTTGCTACTGTTCAGGTTTGGTTTTTTCCTAAGCCTTGACAGATATTTGGATTTGAGAACATTTCTATTCACGAATTTTACCCTGGTAAACCCTCCAACAACCTTCACTGTGAACACATAGATGCAAAAATACATATTGTTTCTGTTCTTGTCTGCTTTTTTCTGAAGACTCCTCTTGTACCTTGTCCTTGTACTGAATTGGTTCTATGATGCCTTGGCAGAATTCCATATTGCTGGTTTTTTTATGAAAGTGGCTTTTTTATTAATTTTATGCCTGTGCAGTCTGCTCCTTTTATTGTATTTTCTAGTCTTTCAGAGGTTGTGCTTTCCTGCCACTCTCTTTGAAGTCAATTTTAACAGCATTATTTTTAGTAGCCTCCCTGTATCCTACAGTTCAATCCTGCCAGCTCGCCTTTGGTTTTCCTAGCAGGTGGTGTGTGTTTTCTGAGAGTCTAGTAATGTGTCCTTAAATAGTTGTCTTGAGTCCTGTGGGAAATCTCGTGGTTTTATATCCTTCTTGCTGCATTTTCAAGAAAAATAATCTAAAAAATGTATCTTCCTTCTTAGGCAGTTATCTCCTGGAAGCTGGATCTAGCTCTGGTGTGTTTCTGGGTGTATCCTGTTCTGATCCAGGGGCATTATGACGTCTTTTGCAAAAGGGTCTGTGCTTAAATTTCAAAGCAGTTACAGCAAACTTCCTGCACCCAAGACAGAAGTTGTTTTTTTCAGCAGTAGATTAATTACTCAACTGGTTATTTAATTATTGTGGCATTATGTCCCAGTACACTACTTTTTCCCCTGAAGCAATTTGTCTTGCCACCATCCTTCTCAGGTGGCCACTGAGAGAGCCCTAATGCCAGGATCAGAGTAGGATTTCAGTCCTTGTAAACTGAACATTACCTATTGACAGGCTTGATGTGCTACTCCACCTTGAACCTAAGCTTTCTTAACATACTATGCTGATGTACCTCAGGAGACTGACACCTTCTGCTCCATTTTGATTAGGTTGTGTAGAAATACATGCAGAAATATTTCCTTATGTGTGTGTCTGTGTATACACATGTGCATTTGTGTGTACTTGATTTTCTGTGTTTGTCCACACTCTCCATATAGGACTCTGGATGTGGTGTAAGATACAATGACTTCCAAAACTCTCGGGGAACAACCTCCTCAGAGACCCCTTAGGATATCAGGGCTACTTGCACATGTGGGCTGACAATTGGATTCCTTTGTTTTCCTTCCAACAAGCAGGTTCAAAATGTCATTACTCTCTCTCCTCCTTGAGAGTGGTGACAGTGGCTGGTCCTGAGTGAGCCATGGGAGAAGGACATGCTGAGCCAGTCATGGGGACAGCAATTGGAGGGAGCAGGGCATGCCAGCAGCAGGGGATTTTGAGCTGACATCACTGCTTTTGATGATGTTGTTAGCCAGGGGAGCCTGATTTGTTGTTCTGATCAGTGTTGCTCTTTCCACTGGAGAGCCCCATGCCCAAAGTTCATGGGGCAGTCTGGCCCTCTGAATGGGAGTGCATCACTCTCGCACCACCTATATCCAGAGCCATTTCCTCTTCTCCGGGATGTTGCATCTTGCACTCTTTGCACAGCGGGCAGTATTTTAATTTTCTCCTAAAATCCTGGTTTACCCACTTCAAACCATACTCCTGTGACAGGTTTCCAGCCATTGTAACCAAGGTTGTGCTTGTGGCAGGTTCGGACGGAAAACTATGCTCCTGCTGTCGCTTGTGTGCTCTCTTGTATTTGGAATGCTGAGCGCTGCCTCGGTCTCCTACAGCATGCTGGCCATCACACGGGCCCTCACTGGGTTGGCCCTGAGTGGTGTCTCCCTGATTGTATTGCCTTTAGGTAAGTATGTGGGGATTTGTGGGTGTCTGGTTGTACAGGAGGACTCCTGACAGGTAGTGGGTAGGACACCAGACAGGACGGAGTTAGTAGGAACAGGAGTCTGGAAACTGTGTGTGCAATTTCATTACAGGCAGCCAAAAGAACATCACTCTGAGAAGGATCCAAGAATTACAATTTTCTGTTTGCCTAATTAATACTTTAATCTAGACAAAATATAACCACTTCCATTGCTTGTTACTCAATTCCTGTTAAGCATCATCAGTAGTACAATAAAAGCTGTAGACCAAAGTATCTGCCCCTTTCCTTTGGTACAGAGTTCTCACCCTTCAAGTGCACATTTCTAAGACAATTCAGCAGCATTGCCCTGTCCTCAGCACAAGAAGAATGGTGTGTCATTTAGAGGGTATTTCTACTTCTCTAGTCTTGAGTTTCCATACAGTTTTCCTTAGTTCCCAATCTTTGTATTTTACAAAGAGAAGAAACACACACACACACACACACACACACACACACACACACAATCATACAGAGCTAGGCAAAACTGAAGCTGAAGAATTTAGACTATTATGTAATAAAAACAAGCTCCAAACTTCAGGGTACCCAATAGACTACTGGATGATTTTGTAGATATAGTTGGGACACACTGGGCAAGAGTCTTAGTACCCAAGAGCAAATTACAGATGCAGCAAAAATTTCCAAGATTTTTGCAGATCCAGAAAAAAATCAAGCTAAAATGGCTTCAATACTAGAAAAGTCCGTATAAGACCTGACAAGGACTGCTATATCTTTTGTTATTATAAAGGTTGATGCCTGCAAGACAAAGTAGAGCTTGGGAGGGACATTTTTGACTGTCAAAGGTTGTAGCAAGATGTCCAGGTCTTTGGAGGGAAAATGGCTTTTTTAGTTCACACACACAAACAAAGAGACCACCATCTGGCTTTACATGTGCATTAGTATTCACACTGGGTAGATTCCACGTGAGAGACAATTCATCTGGATATATTTCTTTAATCTGAAATAATGAGTGGGCAGAGAAATGGGAAACCATGCAAGCAAGACAGTTAGGAGGGAAAAAAATCTTTTTGACAAAGAAGACCATTTGAATGCTGTAGACAGGGATAAAAAAAGGTATCACCTAGAGTGTTTTTAGCACTGTTTCTTAATATATAACCAGTATTTATTTTTTTTAAAGGTTTGATTTTAGTTGCTTACAGCTTTAAGAGAGTTTAAGAATTGTGATTAACGTTTTAAATGTTCCAAATATTGGCCAAACAGTGGAACCTTGTGAAGGAGAAGACTAGGGATGTTATATTGCTTTGCACTTCTTAAAAAGCCCTGCAGACCCCTTCCTGGGGAACTCCTGCATGTCCCATCTAAACGCTGCCTCCCTCTTGCAGCGATGGAGTGGGTGGACATACAGCACCGCACCTTCACTGGGATCCTGAGTAGCATCTTCTGGAGCATTGGGAACATGCTGCTGGCCATGGTAGCATACTTGGTGCGGGAATGGCACTGGCTGTTAGTAGCTGTAACAGGACCTTGTCTTCTGAGCATTGTCTGCCTGTGGTGAGTGAAGTGACAGGGTGGCTGGTGGGGATGGGAGCAGGCTGTGATTTGTCTCCTCTGCTCTGTGAGCGTGGCAAACATCGGAACACTGATCCTAAGATTCACTCCAGCAACTTCAAGAGGAGCAGGACTCATCCGTGTCCTGTACTCGGATTGCCCACGCATGGCAGCTTTTGAAAACAGCAGAGCCTGGGTTTCATCTCTCCAACAAGGCCAGGAGCAAAGGTCACATCACAACTTTGGAGACAAGGAGGAGGCAGGACTGGGGCTGAGGCCAGGCATTTGGATGACAGGTTGCAGCACAAGGGAGCAGGATTTGGTGCTGCAAGCTCTGTCAAACGTGTCAGAGTAAAGAAAAGATATCTCAATAAGGGGAGGTAGGACGAGATCCCTGGCTTTAATCCTTAGCAAACTCAAGATAAATAATTTATCCATCCTCTGTCCTCACCTCACTGGGAAGGATACTTTTGGCACCAATTTTTCCATGAGAGCCAATGATACCTTCAGGCCAGGTCAGGTTCATTTACCTCTGTACTTCCCATGGTTTTTCTCAGCTGTGTAACCACTCAGATGGGCCAAATATACCTGCTTTCTGTGGGCTATTTCCCTCCTGTTGCATTATTTAAGACATATATGTCATGTCCTAAGGCTTAAAATGGGAGATGGTTCATTTAGTAGAAGAAGCATTGATTTTTTTTTATGTAGTAATATGAACTAGAATACAGAGTTCATTCACTGACAGTGTGATTGTCATATGAAGTGAATTGGATCAACTTAGCTGACAATTCAAAACAGTCCGTTGAATAAGCAGCTCCATTTCCTGGATGGAAAAAAAGGCTTGTGCTCAAATAAGCAAGCAGGTATTCCCACAACTGCCCTACTGAAAGCATTCGGCAACGAGGAGGTGAGTCTCCTTCACCTTAGGGTGGTTGTTTAGTTCCTTTTGGACAATGGCACAGTGCTGGATCACACTGCAGAAGTCACAGATGTGTCCCTCAGGGGGACGGGGAGCTCTCACTGGAAACCATGCAGAATAAGTTCTGATTGTTAGACACATGGGTCCAAAAATTATGTGCATAATCACTGAACAAAAAGAGTGATATCCAAATGCTGAAGTGCCTTTCAGCTGCTATCAAGGATGCTTCTGAAGACTATGGTTTGCTTGCTTACTGCATCTGTCCATCAGCATGAAGCACTAGATTAAATAGCTGCACAGATCTAGTACAAAAATCTCAAATAATCCTTACTAAAAATGGAATATAAACTGATGCTGTTGTTATTCAATGGCTAAAGAGAGATGGCTTTCTGGCAAAGAGTAACATTTGATCTTTCACTGATCAAGTCCAACACAACTAAAATATGTGTTCTGCTGACTTTTTTAGTTTGAGTTGTTTTGCTTGCTTTCTAGGACAACCAGACAAAAAAAATGAGTCCTTGGAAGTGCTTAAATTCACAGATACATTTGGACCCACCCTTTCCATGACAGCTGTTTGGTTTTTTTCTCTTACTGTATCTTTTACAGAGATTAGTTCTCCAACAAACTATACTGTAGTCTGATCAAACTTCAAACACCCAAAAGGCCAGTGACTGGCAGATAATTAAAACTCCCTGAAGTATGGAATTAAAATCTAATTTAGCACTCTGTAGATACTATTGACACAATGTCAGAACCCAGTGGAGACATTAGATAACCAAAAGACATAATATTACACCCTAGAGACAGTGGCAATGAGCACAAAATGCCATCTTTCCTTCTTTATATTTCCCAAGGTGCACTGGGTTCTAAGTTTGTGGGAAGGAGATGAAAACTTTCGACAAGACCAGTTCTGCAAATGTTTTTGTTCTGCATGTCATTTTCAGTTGCTGCTTGAATAGTGACAGCAGTTGTTCACTAGTTTTGTCGTAATCTGATTTAGGGCACATGAATCACGAATAGCTTACAGAGATCTGGTCTCAGACATTATAGTGGGAGACTCCAATGAGAGACTGACAACTGTGTGACCTCAGCAGACCTCAAATCCACAGTTCTTCAGGGTTGTAAATCTTCCCACTGGTTGCACAGAATGCTCAGCTGAAAGTCTCCATGAGAATGGCAGTTTATGGTTTTTATTTCTCTCCAGGGACAGATTTGGGTAACAGGAGATAGGTGTTGGCTGCTCTAGCAGGACTTGGACACTTTGGGCTATTTCACATGTCTGCTGGACCCTGACCACTATGGGCACCCACAAAACACCATGTCCCCCCTAAGCCACATGGGCTGCACTGTGGCCTGGGAAGCTCTGGGGCTTGTAGCCATGAATTGCAGGCAGATGAAAGATTAGAGAGAAGTCCAAGGAGAGGGAGTTGCAGATGCTAGTTTAAGACAAGTGCTGGATCTTTTGCTGGGGCAGAAAAATAAGAATCACAGGACTCCTACCCTACACAGGTCTGCTAAGCAGACCTCCCTGATTTGCTAATTAGCTCCATACAGTATAGCATCCCTGGTCACTCAGTGACTGACATGGGCACGTCACTGAGGGCTGCAACCTCAATGATTTAGACCCAGCTGACTGTCTTGTGCAGGTAGCTTTGATTATTGTGAAAAACAAGTAATTTAAGTAACTAACAAAGTAAGTACAGAGCTTACTACTTCATTGTAATTTTTAATATCTCACAATTTCAAAGTTTAAAAAGTCACAAAAAGCAAGGATGTGTAAACTCTCTGGGGCCAATTTTAATTGATAAAAGTTTGGAACTTCAAGCAGCTCAGAAAATTCAAGCTTTGATCAAAGATCACATGATTAAAATTTTGGCTAGACATACATCAGTTAGCAGACTGCACTTCTTTAGGGGTAGAAGAGCATATAGGTGTAAAAAGGGTGTCCCATTACTCTTACTCTCATGCACCATAGTTGCTATTTTCAGCTGAGGTTGAAGTCTCATAAAGATGCCAGAGCCATGAATGTGGGGTGGAAAACATGAAGGAACACTGTCTTCTCTCCTTGCATCAGGTGGGTCCCAGAGTCTGCCCGCTGGCTCATAGCCAAAGGCAAAGTGAAGCAAGCTCACAGGCATCTGCTTAGATGTGCAAGAACGAACAGAAGGAAAGATTTTGCTCTCTCACCAGAGGTAAGAAACTGAAGATCCAGACACATGTTCTTCCTTTCCCACTTTCTCTCTATATATTTTACTTCCATTTGATACCTGAAGCAATGCTCAGTCTGCAGTGTGTTCTGTGGGGCACTGTGGTCCACAGGGTGCCATGCTCCTTTTTTATTCTAGAAAGCAGCTACATTCACTCCTAAAGATAAAACAGCAGCCCAAATCCCATAAGACCAGAAATCCCTTTCATTAGGTGTAGTCTCTTTCCACTCATTATTGCCATGACAAGAGGCCTCAGTGGACTGGACACTGGACTAAATACACAGTGAGAGAGAAGGGCAGCCTGAGAAAATAAGGCAGAGGCATCACTCCCATAGCAGACAGAAGACTGTGCAGTTGCACAAGGAACTCGTCCAACTTAGTGTTTGCCTTCTTGGTCGCTGTAGTATTTGCCAAGTGTTGGTACAGTGCTGGAAGAAAGCAAACACACATTAATAGCATGTAGGTAGCATATTTTCTCTCACATTGCACTTGAGATACTTCATATACTATAATCCAAAAATGCAAAAGCTAGTTCACCTTAGGCTGTATTTAGTGTATATATGAAACTGGAAGATTGTCAGCAACGGTGCCACAGTGATCAATATGGATGTAAAGAACATTCAGCATAATCAAATTTTTCCCCTGGCTAAAACTTTGCTTTCAAGTCAGTCATGGTTCTGCCAGCACTTTTAAAGGGATGTGGCAAGGGTGAGGCATTGGGCAAAGTACGCATGCATCCACTGGTTTGAACCCATTTTTGCCTGTAAGGTGTAAAGAATGAAGTTGCTCAGTTAGATGTCTGAACAAATGAAGAGGAAGGAGAACCCTAACAAATGGACAGCATTTAATTTTTAAAAAGCAGTTTCTTAATATCTGTCAAAGAGGTGATTAGCCCTTCTGATTTATGACAGAAAAATGGTGTGGCCTGTGCAGCTCTGTGGCTGGGATTGAGTATTTATGCAAAAGCTTTGGCTGAGGCTTTGCTTTCTCTGAAGAGGATATTGATTTGAGGATATCTCCTTGAGGAGAGTTAGCAGACTCTCTCCTCAAGGTTTCCTGTGTTTCATAACCTTATCTGTTTTAACTGTCCTACCCTGCATTTGCTGATGATTTTTGGACATGGTGGAGTGAGGCTGAGAAGAATTCTCTCCCAGTAGTAGGTATCATTACTGTCTGAAGCCTCCTTTAGACTGCAATCTAATGACCAGCTGGCAGGGGCTGGCATGAAATTCTCCTGACCAAATGCAAATGCGGTTGTTTCCTCTGGAGTAAAATGACTCCATCATTTCCGTTGGAGATCTCCATTAAATACACAGTGAACCCATGGCAAAAGCTTAGGTATAGCTGCATTGCAGACCTGTGGTTGTGTGAATCTCTTGCATCTCAACCAGTGAGCACAACTTACCAACTCCAGTGGTACTTACTCCTCAATCAGTTGCCAAAAGCCTTTCTGAATAAGCACTCTCTTCTTCCTCATGGGCAGGGGTCACTTCTCTGTGCTTGACTTTTTTATGTATTCTGTATTTATATAAACAGATGTACAAATGATTAAATAAATGCACTCAGAAAATAAAGCATGCAGCTCACTGTTAGCTGCTGTCTGAGACCTCATAAAACAGCAGGCAGCCACATGGTGAATAGGGTGGAACTGACCAACATTGACCTTGCTAACACCATGATCTGTCATTTCTCTACAACCCTTTCTGCCACATGGGATATATAGGTAAGAGGGTAGAAGGGTCCATGAGAAGAAAAACAGGTCTAAAATCGTAGGCAATCTGTAAAGTTGTAGGAAGACATGCCTCTGACAATGTATGCTCACAGAATTGTTCTGCAATGGGAATGCATGGCAAATCCAAGGCAGAGCTGAAGCTGGGAAGGGCAAAATCCCCAGCCTGCCTAGGGTTTCATGTCTGGATTCTAAAAATACAGTAGCTGAGCTATTTCCTTCATTCCATCTCTCCCAGGCCCTGGCAAGGATGGCAACAGACAAAAAGCCATCAGGGAGTTACTTCTACATCAGCTTGTTCAAAACACCAGTCCTGCGGAAGATCTCTCTGTGTTCTGGGGTTGTGTGGTAAGCAGTATCACTTCACATGGGGGATTCATCCTGCATTTCCCCAGAGGGATTTCCCTAAGTCCCATCTCTACACACTCCTCACAGGTTTGGTGTTTCCTTCTCTTATTATGGCATGAGCATGAACCTGACTGGCTTTGGGCTCAACATCTATCTCTCCCAGTTTGTGTTTGGTGTCATTGAGATTCCAGCCAAGATGATCATGTACGTGCTGGTGAACCGAGTTGGACGGCGACAGAGTCAGGCGTGGACACTCATCCTGACTGGACTGTGCATAGGAGCCAACGTTGCCATTCCCAAGCGTGAGATGCTATATGCAGTACTTGCTAAAGGGGAGGTTTCCATTCTGTGTAGTGCTAGAGAAGGAAAACCATAGATCATGTTCACAGGCAATTCTGTATAGAAAAGTCCTCCACCTAAGGGGTGTCTATGAGTCAAGGTCACTAATACGGGCTAGCCCTAATATCTGGTGGCAACAGATGGTTTCCAGTCACTGTGAAGGGCCCAGTGATGGCAAGGTAAAGTGCCTATCTTAATTATAGATGTTGTACAATGGGAAATGTCAGGACCTATCCTTTCATCATTTCAGCTCCCATTTGGGCTAACAACAAACTGACAGATCCAGCCCTTGGAGACAGCAGCTCCAGGGCTATGAAGTTCCCTGTTTTGTCTGTGGGAGCATTGAACCCTCTCCCTTCTTACACATGAGGCCACAGGAAGCTTCTTCCTAGAGGCAGCTCTTTGACCATTGTCACATATGCCTTTTCTCTCCTGCTAGCCTTCACCTCCTTGCGTTCTGTAGTAGCCATAATGGGCAAAGGCTTCTCAGAAGCTGCGTTCACTACTGTCTTCTTGTACACCTCTGAGCTCTACCCTACCATACTGAGGTAAGAGATGCCACTCACCTGAATGCACACCCAGAGCCTCGGTGGGGTATTTGACACCAGCACAGCAGGATGTGCTGTTGGTCAGATTGGTCCCTTGCCTCTGGAAATAGCAGGTTCTAGGGATTACACATACTCACAAAAAAGGGGCAGAAAGCCACCTTTTCTTGTGGGTTATGTGTGGTTGGGTTATGTGTGGTTAGTTTATGTTGATAGGGAGACGAATGGAAAGGTGAGGAGTATTCTGTGGGGGAAAATTTTTGAACTCCGTAAGGCATCTGTGTTTAGTAAAATCTTACTTCCCTGTGATAATCTGTCAGCAACTGTTAAAAGACCCTGAAAATAGTAACTTAAAATATTAAGTTTTATAAGGAACACATGCTACCACATGTTTGAGAGTCTTTTGGACATCAGATGATATTAAAGCATGAATTAACTAGCCTTCCAGGAGGAAAAAAAGAATTTACTTGAAATGTATGGGTAACAGTAACAAAAAAACCCCAGATTTACTATCTGCATAGTCTGGGATTCAGCTGGACTGGTGGAAGGAACCACCTCACTGCTTTCTTTGTGAAAGTCTGAAAAAACCCTCATGAATAACAGCAGGCCTTGTAACTGACCTCACCTCTGTCCCTTCATGCCCAGAGTACCCTTCTTTGCCATTTAGTCCTTTAGCTTTCAATGGTCTGTTGCATGTGGCAAATGATCCATATTTAAACCAAACTTGTAACACTGATCTGCTACTTTTCATCTCAGATTGGTTTGTATTTTTCACTCAAAGACCTTGACAGAGACATAACTTGGTTCCTTCTGCAGTACTTGTTCTGTATATGCACAAACAAATCCCAGGATCCTTGTTATTGGTTTGAAATGCCACCCATACCCTCAAAATTAGGTCTTATTTTTGGTCTCTGCAGCAAGTTCTCCTGGGCTCATCACTACAACAGGACCAAAGGTGCTCACAGATATCTCTACTGTATGCCACCTGCCTAGAAATACCTGGGAAAAGATGGAACTTGGGTTTGCTTTCAGCAGGTCAGAGGACTTACTACTAGAAAATGCTCTCAGGGTTTTAGACATTTAAGGTGTAAATAACTTTACAGCAGATATTTTGAGTGTGGAACTGCAGCTTCTTTCTCATAATAGATATAAATCTATTTCTCACAGCAGCTACAGTTGCTCTCTGGGAAATACTATGATTGTAGGAAGATATGAAGAAAGAAGGAAAAATACCCTAGGAAAAAACTGTCTGAGGAAATACCTGGGGCAAAAAAAGTCTCAGTACTTAAAAGAAAAATGCAGGGGAAGGGGCAGAGTTCTGCACTTTTTCCCAAGATCTGATATGACAGAAGTACCCCTCTCTTTCTCATGGAGGTCTATACCTTTCCAGGCAGAATGGGATGGGGTACACCTCCTTTGTGGCACGCCTCGGCGGGGCTTTGGCCCCACTTGTGTTCCTGCTGGACGAGGTGTGGAGGTCTCTGCCAGAGGTGACGTACTGCAGTGTAGCAGTGTGCAGCGGTGCAGTGGCCTTTCTGCTCCCAGAGACGCTCAACATGTGCCTGCCTGAGGGTATTGAGGACGTCGAGAAGGAACAGTGAGTCAGCCCCATCCTGCCTTGCACATGGAGTCCCCTGAGGCAGAGGGGACATAACCTCTCTGTTGCCTGCGATTCCCTGTCTTTGGGTGGCAGCGGATGAAGGGACAGCCCGGCGGTGACCGGGCTGTCAGGCTTCCTGCTTTTCTGTCCATCAGCCCAAACACGCGGTTTTTTTCTTCCAGAGTAAAAGTGCCGCCAGAAACCACTGCTCCCGAGGGCATGCCACTACAGTCTCTGCTGAAGTGAGGCACGCCATGGGACAGCCACCATGGAGGACTGCACAACTGGCCCTTTCTTCACTTGCTATCTTTTCAGCAGCAGTTTATCACTCTGGTTTATCAAGATCCTTCTCGAACACAGTACGAGATGCAGTCTGATGAGCCCTGAGGAAACTGCCCCTTCCCTCCACCTCCCAGCTGTTCGTAGGGCTCAGGGCTGTGCCTGCCAGACCTCGCAGAGCCCCCTCCAGCTTCCGCCTCTGTCATTGCTGGTTTTCCCCTTCATCCCGAATTTCATGGGTATCCTGTTGCCTCCCGCCTGTCTGGGTCCCGCTGGAGGGCTGCCTGTCCTCTGCACACTGGCCGTTCCCCGGCTCCCAGAGGAGGTCCATACCCGTGGGGTGGTCACGGCAGCCCGTGTGTGCGGTCACGGCCAGCCCAGACCTGGCAGCGTCTCCGGTTGATGAGACCAAGGCTGGAGTCGCACCAGCCCTACAGGGCTATGGGACCACAGGGCAACCACCACCTGCCAGTGCTCATGGCCTGCAGCACGACCTGGAGCTGGGCTGCAGCCCCGGGACACGAGTGCACAGCACCGACACCACGGCTGGGTGTCCGAGCCCAGCGGCGGGGACCCGCACGGGGAGTGAATACATCCGACGGGCCCTGAGCACTGGAGGGCAGCGGGTGACAGGAGCAATCCCACCCGCAGGCACAGCGGAAAGCTGCGGGACCGGGCCAAGCGCCCGAGGCGCACGGCCCCGCCCCCACCGGCTCCGCGGCATCACGGGGCGGGGAGGAGCCGGAGCCGGAGGGTGGTTCTGGTTCCGGGTCAGTCCCCGCCCGGGAAGGCTCCTCGGGCGGTGCGCGGGGGCGGCGGTCCCGGCCATGCGGAGCCGGGACGGGCGGCGCCGGCCGCGCAGGGCCCTGCCTGGGCTGCGGCGGGGCCCCGTGAGCCGCCGGGGGTAGGGCGGGGTGCCCCCCTTCCCTTCCCCCCCCCAGCCCCCCGCCCATCGCCATGTACACCTTCGTGGTGCGGGACGAGGGCAGCAGCGTGTACGCCGAGGTGAGCCGGCTGCTGCTGGCCAGCGGGCAGTGGCGGCGCCTCCGCAGGGACAACCCCCGCTTCAACCTGATGCTGGGCGAGAGGAACCGGCTCCCCTTCGGCAGGCTGGGTAAGGGTCCCCCCACCGCGGCCGCCCCCGCCGGCAGCAGGGCCCGTCCTCCGCCTGTCGCCCTGCAGCCCGGGGCTGCCGCTGTCCCCTCCCCTCCCCGGTGAACCACCGCCGCAGGGCGGGGTCCTCGCCGCAGCCTCCGCTGCGTTCACGGGCAGGGCGCTCCCGGCAGAGACCCCGCGGTTTGGGAGGCGGTGCTCCCCGGCCCCCGGCACCGTCCCGTCGCCGTGACCGCGCGCGGGGCTCCCTGTCACCTGGGCTCGGTCACCGCCCTGGCCTCCGTCGCCCAAACAAAGGGCGGGCACCGAAGGGTCTCCGTGCAGCCGCCTCCCGACCCCCGGCATGTCTCTCTGCAGGCCCTGCTGGCGCCAGCCAGGACTCGAAGGATCCCCCTCCCAAGCTCCCGGAGAGTGGTTTCACGGGTATCCCGCAGAACACCCCCTGCCGAGCTTGAAGGGTGTGCTGTGGCGAAGCGGGGGCTTGGGAGGTGTTCAGGGATCACCCGAGGCCCCTCATCTGACATTTGGCAGACCTTAGGATCCCGGCCCCCCCGGGTGGAGCCCTGCTTCCCGGACTACCCTCCTTGTCCTGCAGCAACGCCCTTAGCACCGTTTGCACCATTGCAGGGGGCTTCAGGCACACAGCATGGGTTCTTGGGGGGTGCAGTGCTGCCAGTGGCATTCCCCTGCCTGGTGCTGGGCAGGGACATTGCGGTGCTGAGCTTACGTGTTATGGGGGTGTTTCTGGTGTTTGGGACAGGTGGGGAAACAGGTCTAAACCAGGCACACTCAAACCCTCACCCCAGAGTCGTGGCTGGTGGGGGTGTGCCTCTACAGGGCTTGGTGGCGGTGAGAGCACTAGTCTCTGCCTGGAGCAGGATGTTGGTAATTCCAGAGGCTCTTTGCGTTGTAGAGCTCCATGCCCCCCTGGCCCACCACCTTTTCCCCTGCTGCTTGACCCCCACTGTCACACTTGCCAATATGCTGGGCCCTGGAAGCTGCCCTGTGCAGGCTTGTCCCATGGCAGACAGGGCTGTCAGCAGAGCCACCCTGGCCCTCTGCCCCACTGGATGGTGCGGAGCCCAGGAGCAGGGAGGGGAAGTGCTATGGACTGCCCACAAGCAGGGAGAGCCAAGCCAGGCACTGGCAGTGTTGCAGGGTGTGGCGGGGAGCAGGGATGCACTGTCATCTTGGCCCTATTTTTTTTCTTCCTGGGGTGATTTTGCAGCACTGTTTCTGGCTGCAGTAATGTCAAAACAGGAGGAGCCCCCTCACTCCAGCAGCTCTGGGGCAGGACAGCTTTGCAGCCCCTTGCCTTGCAGTAGAGACCCAGCTCTGACTGCTCTTCCAGATTTGCAAGTCACCAGCTCCAGCACCTCTTCCCTTGTCTCTTCATGCATTTGTGAGTGGAAAGTCTCCATCACATGGCAATGCCATCTGGTCACCTTCCAGGATTGGGGTGTCTGCAGCAGGCAGGGAAACACTGAGAGAGGCTTAAGGAGTGAGGTTGCTCACAGGTGCTGACAGCAGGCACAGCAAGCAGACCTGTGCTTTAATGTGCCCAGCATGGAGAGCCCGTGAGCATCAGGCCTCATTGCAGAATGAGTACAGTTCTTTGATGTGAGTGGGCACACACAGCACATCAAGCCATGGTGGGCTTGCGGGCATCTCTTACTAACCCTTTCCATCCTTCAAAACTGTCCTGGGATGATGGAAGGACTTCAGTGAGCCCTTTAGCTTGTGTTGCCATAGGATGCCTGAAAACTCAAACCATTTCTCAGAGCCAAGACACATCTATAACCTGTGGAGAGGCACCGTGCTTTTGCAGTGTCTTTAAACCATCCTCCTATAGCAGGAACTGGTTGCCTGAAATCAATACATTCAGAGCAAAAATAACATGGTTATTTTGGTACATCTTCCAAAAAGCTGTATCTTCTCTGGTTCATCATCCTTAAGCTGTCTTCCCAAGCAACTGTTGCATCAAAACTGGTTTGGTTTTCCTAAGGGCTCTACTCAGTGGAAGCAGAATTAATTCAGGGAACTGTAGGGATTTGCATTACTCAGGGGCTCAGCTGGGTCACTGGGAGAGGGGTAGAAGTGGGGACTCTCAGCATGCACCGCTGCTGCTGTCCAGCTGCAGGGACCTCTGTTGCTCTCACTGATAACCTAATTCTTGGGGGATTGTGCTCTTAATCTGTGAGTGTCTGCATCTAGCAAAAAAAGCAGTTTGTGCTAAGGGGAGAGAAAGGAGGAAAAGGCTGCAGAGGCCTTATGTAGGAGAGGATGCTGGACTGTGCCCTGCTGGCCACAGGAGGATCACCAGTTTGGTCAGTGCCTTGGCAGCTTTGTAATTCTGCTAAATGCATGGTGCAGACCTCACAACATGCCCGAGAACATTTCCCTTCCTGCCTCGTGGTCTCTCTTTGCTGGCCACCAGACTCTACACTGCAGCCCACTGTTCCATGGTGATGCTCAGGAAACCAGTGAGGATGTGTGTCCCCAGGATAAACTGGAAACAAAAGAAAATTTGAGGTTTTTTACTATTTTCTTTCAGTAAATTAGTACCTGGCCATGCTACCTGCAGATTGAAGTGCCTGAAGTTACAGATCTTTTCTGCAGGATGGTTCTCAGCTATCTTGTATTTAAAGATTTGTGAATAAAAAACTGACCGAGGTCAGGGACATGACTTTGGGGTTGAAAATAGATATTCACACTCTGTGATCTTGCAGCTGCCTGGTCTTGTTTAGTCCAGGCCTTTTTTCCCAGGTAAACACCAAGGAGAATAATTAAAACTCTGAATCCTTTTTCAAGGTCACAATCCACTCCCACAAGCATTTTTTTTTTTTTTGAAAGAGGGTGCAGGTGGAAGTATCTCTCATGCTTGGGGGATCCCCCTTGTCCAAGGTCATTTCAAACCAGAGCAGTTTTCCATTGTGCTTTTCCCTATTGATGCTCTTGTCAGTTGATGTCACTGGTGACCCAGGTATTGCCTCAGGCATCACTTGCCTCTTGCACGTCATCCATGTTCATCTGCACTGGTTGTGTGGGAGAGGCTGTGTAGTGTTACCCTTCAGACACTTGCTGCCATTGTGTCCTTCCCAGAGAGCTTCCAGCTGAGCACAAGTGTTTGTGTGATGTGAGAAGGTGAAAGAAGGCAGGCTGTGATGTGGAGTCCAGCATTGGTAAGGAAGTACCCATCTGTTTGGCACTCTGTGGTATCTGTGTGGTACTGGTGAGGCAACAGCTGGATACAGGGACCGATTTGGCACTTCCCAGTGCAAGAAAGGCTTAAGACACCCTGGACTGACTCTAGCAGGGGCCATTGGGATAGTCAAGGGGACAAAGGATGGCAGCCAAGCATGGGGACAAGGACTTAGAGAAGCAGTACGATCTTCATCCTTAGAGATACTCAGACTTTGACTGAGAAAGAAGTTGGAGCAGAGACTCCCAGAGGTTCCTTCCCACCTCTGCTATCCAACAGGTCTTGCTGCAAACTGCTAGAGGGAAGGAAGATTCCAAATCTTTAAATGTTTCCCAGTGTTTTGTGATACCAGGTCCAAGAGGGAATTCTGTACGTGACAAAGAAAAGAGGCCTTTTGCTAAGATGTGATATCATGTGGTATCATGGTGTGCTTCCCTGCATCCTCCACTTGCATTTAACAGTATCTGAAATCTTAGTTTTTAAAAACTAGCAAAAGGAGAACATTTTTTGGTGGTGCTGCCAGTTCCCAATGTGAATTAGGAAATAATTATTTTCCTTTGCAATATGGATGTGTCAGATTAAAAACAAATGGGTAAATGCATGGTTTTTTGCAACTAAAAGAAGGAAACCACAGGAGCCAGTACCAGCTTACAACCTGTTTCTGTAATGCAGGGCAAGGAAACAACCTCCTTTTTTTTTTTTTTTTGTCCATACTGCATAGGTCCTTTGCACCAAGCAGCTGTTTTCCCTTTATTATTTGAGAAG